CAATACCACATCTATCATTCTGTCCTCTCCTGGAAGTTTCCAAATCAAGAAAAATTTACAACCTTTGCTTAAAATATCCATTATGTATTGAGTGCTTTGTTTTGAAATCTTTGTTAGTCAAGTGATAAATATATATATACATATATGTGCATATATACACTAGTTGTGGTAAAATCAAGGGAGAGTAGCCCCCCCTTGTCCACAGGGACTATGTTCCCAGACCCCCACTGGATGCCTGACGCCACAGATAGTACTAAATCCTACATGTAATGTTTTTTTCCTACTTATCTTATCTATGATGAAATATAATTTATAAATTAGGCACAGTAAGACATCAACAATAATTAACAAAGAAATAGAACAATTATCACACTATACTGTAGAAACGCTATGTGAATGTGGTCTCACAATGTAAAACTTCTTATGAAGTGTTTACTTTCAGAACTTTCCATTGAATATTTTCAGACCATGGTTGATCTTTGGTAACTAAAACCTTAGGAAGTGAAACCTCAGATGAGGGTGGACTTCAGTGTACATCCTTAGCTAAAAGGGTGAATACAGTATTTGATAAGAATATCCTGAACAATTCCAGCATTATGAGAATCAGCTGCTTGACAAGATTTTCTTGGACTCAGGCGACTGTGCCTGTCTCAGGTAGCCCCCTCAGGGGTCTTACCTGTCACTGGCTAACCAGCCTTCTCACCTCTGAGTCTGCAGCTTTCTATGAGTTGTTTACCATTCCAGCCCAAGGCTCTGTTGGGGATAGAAGACTAACACCAGGCATGCCCAGCGTTTATAGCCAGGGTCCTAGGTCATTGCTAAAACCTCAAGGCAGTTACTAAGCACATCTTCTTTAAGGAGATAAGCAGCTGGGATCTGTTACAATTTGTTAACCCAATCATGGGCTCCCACAATCATCACCATAATCAGACCAATTAACATTTCCTTTACCTTACATTGTTCCTTTTTTTGATGGGAATAGTTAAAACCTACTGTCTTGGCAAATTTCAAGTATATAATAGAGTGATATTAGC